GGGGGGGAAGGCCACGGGAGAGCCCCCCCGCCCTGCAGGCACAAGGCCACGGTCCAGGGCCCGGGCAAGGCCCCACGCCGGGCTGCAGCAGCGCCACACTCTGCCTGCTCCTGGAGCAGGGACTCCCCCGTCCCGCCCCCAGCTGCCCTTTCAGGCCAGCTCCGTGTGGGCCGGGCGCTCCTCCCTGAAACCCTGGCAACCTCCAGGGCGCCTGAGGTGGGCCGGCCAGCCAAAGAAGAGACTTCTCCCGTCGCCAGGCACCACTCCCCCAGCTAGCAAGAGGCTCCGAAGCAGCCGTCCCGGGGCCTGGCCGGAGCCGCAGGGACCAGGGCGCCCACGGCTCGTGCCCCAGCGGCCGCTCTTTCGAGCTGCGGGAGCACTGCAGAATGGCCAAGGACAAGCCACCTGCCCAGAAGACCCAGCACAAAGCACAGCCAGGGCCTGGCCACCCCCTCCAACCCTCAGCAGCCTCCTTGAAGCCCCCGTTTTCAGCACCAACTGAAACTCATTTCACGCAAATTGCATCTGCCAAGAAAATGTGCTGCATTCTTTTCTCGTTTTAAGTGGGGGGGGGGGGCAGGACAGGCGAGGGCACCACGTTGCCACTGCCCTGCTCCCCTAGATCAGAGGCAAACGCCACCTGATCCAGGATCCCACATCCCCAGAAGCCAAGCAGCAGCCCCAGACACTGGACGGGTGGGCAGTGGTCCTCCCCCTGCCTGTGGAGGGTCACTTGCCATCCTGATTCAGGCAGAGCTGCAGAGGCAACATCGTTTTTCTGTCGGGAGGGCGGAATTTGATCAATTCTTTCAAAAAGGAGGAAGTGGGGGCCTGCAAGATAATGAAGTGATGTAGCTCAGCCCCTTGCAAGCATGGAGAGGAAAGGCTGGGCGGAGAGTTGCGGGGGCGAACCTTTTCCGTCTCAAGGGCCGAACTCCTGGCTTGCATTCCGGTGGTGGGTGGGAAGAAGGCAAAGGGTGGGGCCCACGTCACCCCAACATGCTTGGTTGGCATGCTGGATCCTGAAGCCCTTGCTGCCAGGAAGTCCGGTGGGGGAGAGGTAGGCTGACCTTTCAGGATGTGGGCAACGGCCAGGAAGGCACCCCACGGTCCTGGGAGAGGTGGTGGGGCCAGGGGAAGGAGCCCCCAGGTGCACCGCAAGTTCAGTGTCTCTGGCCTAAACAAAGCACCACATTCTGCCCCCAGCCAACAGGATTGTTGTTGTTGTTAGTCACGAAGTCGTGTCCAACCCATCGTGACCCCATGGACTACACTCCTCCAGACCTTCCTGGCCTCCACCTTCCCCTGGAGACCACTCAAGCCCACACCCACCGCCCCTGTGACCCCATCCAGCCACCTCACCCTCTGCCGTCCCCTCCTCCTTTTGCCCTCAATTGTTCCCAGCATCAGGCTCTTCTCCAGGGAGTCCTTCCTTCTCATCAGGTGGCCAAAGTGTTTGAGTCTCATCTTTAGTATCTGGCCTTCTAAAGAGCAGTCAGGGTTGATCTCCTCTAGGACTGACCGGTTTGATTGCCTTGCGGTCCAAGGGACTCGCAGGAGTCTCCTCCAGCACCACAATTCAAAGGCCTCAATCCTTCGGCGCTCAGCCTTCCTTATGGTCCAGCTTTCACAGCCATACATTGCAACTGGGAAAACCATAGTCTTGACTGTACTCACTTTTGTCGGCAGGGTGATGTCTCTGCTTTTTAGTATGCTGTCCAGATTTGCCATCGCTTTCCTCCCCAGGAGCAAGCGTCTTTTAATTTCTTGGCCACATGACAACAAAAAATCTTGGGGCACCTCAACACAGATCAGTGTCTCATGGCGGAAGCTTTGGGGGAGTAGCACTGCCATGCATTCCTGGCTGCCCCTCGGGTATTGCCCCAGTGGGGTGAGTTCCTCTTCAGCATCTTACCTCTTTGTGATCTTCAGCATATGGAGAAGGGTGGGGGGAAGGCATCCCCCCCCATCCTCTCTAGGTACCTGGGATTGGGCGGGAGCCTCCTTCCCAGAAGCTGAAGTTGGTGCAAGGCTGCGGCACCAGCTTTGTGGGAAGCAGTGGGGAGCGGGCGGTGTGCTTCCCCACAGAGAAACTTGCTTCACAGGTCCTGCAGGCACAGCTGTTTCCCAACACAGGAGGGGAAGATCCCACAGAGGCACACGTTCCACTGGGCAAACAGACAGCAGCCAGCCAGCCAGCCGGCCTTTTATGGAACCTTAACAACTTTAAGCATGCTGGACACAAGCTTTCCAGTTATACAGAACTTCTCTTCAGATTTAGGTTTTTAGAACAGCATAACTAGCCAGGGAAATTTGAACAAGCCATTTTACATGGAAGCAAACACACCAGGTAAAGTCAGTTGCTCGTTCAGATCAAGAACGGGACGTTCAAGATGACCAGGGGGCCCTGCTGGCCGGAAAGAGCTGCAGCTGCACGAAGGGTGTACTTTGGTCCCCTGTTGGAACGATCTCCTGGGCTGCCAGTCCTTCCTCAGGCACACAGATCTCTCACAGGAAGGCCAGAGGGGGAAGAGGCAGAGTGGTGTGTGGAGCTCAGCACCCTCACTCGTCACAGCAGGCCCAGCCCCGACCCAGCCCTGCACCTCCCGCTCACAAGACGGGAAAGAGCCTGGAGCGCCTCCACCAGCCCAGGCAATGTGGGGCCAGAGGTCCAGCGGCTTGACTCAGCTGGCAGCAGCTTTGTGAGTCTCCGTGCCACCCTCCCGACAGGCTGGGGGGCCCCCACTTGGCCCAGAGTCATCAGTGACTGTGGGAATGCAAGAGCCTCTCCCTTCGTGGCCAGCAAGCCAATTGTGGTGGGTGCAGGAAGCTGCCTTGCTCCCCACTGGATTAAGCTCCCCAAGTCTGTTTCAGAGCCACTGATACATGCAGCTCACAGAGGATGCCAGCAGCTGCGCCCCTCCCTTCCAAAAGCAGAGAACCAGTGGGCGGCCTCTTTCTTCCCAGGGGCCAAGTTCCACTGCAGAGGAGCTCTGGGGGGGAATGTGTGTCCGTGGGGCGCGGGGCCAAGGGCAACAGGGGAGGAGCCCCGAATGCCAGCACACTGCCTCCCCCCACTGGCACCAAGCCTCAGGGAGCTATTTCAGCCTGTTAGGCTTGCAAGGCAGGCAGCGGCACAGAAGCAGGAAGCCACCAAACAAGGACCACTCTGGGAAGGGGGGGGCATCCGGGGGTGCAGCTGGGCCTGGGTTGGGTCTTGCAATGGGGGCTCAGCAGCCCACCCTGAAGCCAGAAGCACAGCAAGACCCTGGCAGCTTCCAGTGGCTGGCAGAGCAAGTGCCCCTCTGCCCAGCCAAATCCCCAGTCCAGCAAGCCCACCATCCGCCCATCCTCTTCGCCTGCATCATTCCATGCCCTGGACCATCATCCCCATGCCCTGGAGCTGTGACTGACATGGCGCATGCGCAGCCCCTCTGTGCCTTGGCTTTTAATTGTGGTTTTAATATTGCATTCACTGCCTTGGTGGGTGGCATAGAAGCGCCTCAAATAAATGAATACCTGGCTACATAAGAGGAGCTGAGATCCCTGCGGAGGCTTCCACTGGCCATGCAGGCTGGGCCCCTGGGAGTTTCATGCATACCACCGGGATGGATCGGGATGCGGAAGGCCGGCCCACTCTGCGTGGCCACGTGCTACGCCCTCCTTTGACTGGAGTGGCTGGGCACCGGGACCGGGACTGGGGCCTCCGCGTGCCCAGGACCACGTGCTGCAAAAGATCAGGCCCCTCCGTTCCCCAGCCACCCCGAGCTGGCTGGGGCTGCATGGCGAAGCTCTGCGTGCACCAGAACTTTCCCCCAGAACCTCTGAGCACTCACAGAAAGCCCCTTCTCACTCACACACACACAGAGTGCAAGCAGAACCAGCCCTCTCCCAAGGAAGCGCCAGCAAACTGAGCGGCTCCGAGGCAGGCTTGCACCGAGCAGCGCTTTGTGGACACGTGCTCCCTTCATTTGCCCACACGCTGCCACAACCCCGCAACTTTCTGCCCACAGAGGAGCCTTCCCCCAACTCCTACCTAAAGCTCGGCCCCGTGAGAGTGGAGAACAAGCTCAGAAGAAGCCCTCTGCGCTTCTGGAGATGCCTGCTCGGAGGCTGCACAGCGCAGCCCTTCCAGCTGGGGGTGGGGAAGGCTGGATCCAGTTCTGGCCAGAATGCCGCTCACATCTCCCTGCCACCCGGCGTGGCAGAGGCTCCGCTACCCGCTCTTCGCCTCCACCCAGCTCTGCCTTCCAGATCTGGGCCCAGCCTGGGAAGGAAGCTGGCACAGTGAGGCAGGAGGAGAGCCATCCCTGTGGCTCATCTCTTCGGAACGTGGCAGGAGCATCCATGGTCACCTGGTCTTTGGTGACCCTCGTCTAGCGAACCAACGGTCTTGGTCCGTGCACACAAGACATCCCCCGGCCAAGCCGTCTAAGCGAGCAGCCTCATCACCTGTGGCAGCGCGGAACTGCCTGCATTAGTTCTGCACCGCAGAGCGTTCCCTCCGTCGCCTGCGGGAAGAGCTCGCCACGCCAGACCGTGCTGCGTCCCTCCCCCACATTCCACACAGAAGCACACCGGGGGGGGGGAGCACTCTGCACGCTGCCTCTGCCAGTCCTGTTCCTGGTGTGCTCTTCCATTCCAAGAGGAGAGATCGAGGGGGACCCAGTTCAGGAGACGCAGAACAGAGGCAGCTAGGGAAGGAACGCGCCTGGGTGGGCCGCCTGGGGCACTCCAGCGTGGTGTGATCTGGGGGCCGCCTCCCCAGGAGGCCCTGCTGTGGATGGAGGTCGCGGGAGTCTCAGCAGGGGTAACAGTGCATGGCTGTGTGTTTGCTGCACTGTCCTCTTGCTTAGATTGTGAACCAATTTGGAATTTGTGCAACTCAAAAGTGGCCCAGAAACATTGCTCGTAAATAAATAGGCAGGAGTGTCCGTTGCCCACACAGTCGGTCTCTCTTGCACGTCCCAGTTTTTGTGAGGGAGGGAAATGCTACTCACGAGGTCGCCCTGCTGCACGTCCGAGGGCCAGGAAGGAGACGGCAGCGGCCCTGGCCGACGGGGAGGCTGCCCGGGGCTCCGCTCCAGCACACCTCACTTCTCCTGCCGCCTTTGTGGCCCCATCTGTGGGGAGAGGAAGAGAAGCTCAGGTGAGGGGGAGCTGCTTTTACCTTCCCAGAGCACCAGTCTACAGGCAGAAGGCCCCCAGTTGGACCCCAGTGCCTCCAGTTCTGAACAAGCCCCAGCAGCTGGCGATCATGGGGGAGACCCGTCCGCAACCCTGGAGGGCTGCTGCTGATCAGAGCGGGCGATACCAGTCGCCTGCCCTGGTGCAAGCCTGAGGGGGTGCAGTGCTCGAGAAGAGGCACCTCGGCCGCTCCAGCCAGAGCGCAGTGTGCCCAGCGGGGGATGTCAAAGTAAAATTGTGCAGCGAGTCTGTTCCTTTTATGGACCAACGAGTTGATTTCACTTCGGTCCCCGTGCTGTTTGCCTTCTCAGATCCCACAGTGGCATGTCTAGATTTCCACGCTGCTTTTGCTGCATTCCACAGAGAACACAGTGGCTGAGCAATCAGGCTGGCAAATAAACTGCCCTGGCTGCTCACCCTGCAGGCACTGCAGCAGACTAGTCCTCAAGCACGGATGCTCGTGAGTGCATTACTGGATTGCGACTTAAAATATTCCTGTACTTGGGCCTGCTCTTGAAAATCAGCGGGTGCAAAACTTGGGCTGTGCTGATAGAAAACAAAAGAAAACTATGCAATATTTCTGAGGTTTGCTTGGGGTTGCTGGGAAGCAGCGCTGCTGCTGTTGCTGCAGCTCTTAAAGAAGCGTCTGGCACGTCTCCTACCAGTGGGCTGCACTTTGCCGCAAAAAGGGGAAGTCTCCCAAAGGTCAGTCACCCATAAATGTGTGGCCAAAAGTGGCGAAGAGGAACACGATCTGTTCTCGGTCTCTAATATCCGTCATCAATGAGCACAGACCTCATCTGTTCCTGCTGTCCAAGAGGCTGAGACAATGCATTAACTCGCTAATCACAGAGTGTGAAGCTCATGGAATGCATCTATCCAACACCCAGACATGCACTGGCCTAATTCAAAGGTCTAACAAAAATGCGCCTGTGCTCAACAGCTGATGTTTGGCCCACAAAAGTGCACCTGGGCAGGTATCTCTGCAGGCCAGGTGCATGGCCCAAGTCTGCTGGCCATGCCCACAAACCTACTCCCTGAGATGCCCTCATGCACTAAGACGGCAGAGCTCTGGGAGATCGGAACAGCCAGCCCAGCCTTCCATGGCAGACGGTGGCTGGAGAACAGGCCTGGTTTGGCCTGAGCTTTGGAAGGGCATCCGAAGTTCAATCCAGCATCTCTCACTAGTAGGGTGGGCAAGAGCTGTGGGTGAGCGGCTCTAAGCACATGGACGGGCAACGGGGTGCCCACCAGACGCTCTGGATTGCCACGATGGCCAGTGGGCAGGCGGGCTGTGAGGTGCAGTGCACGATGCCCAGGATGCCTGACCCGGCAGAGTTCGGGGGAGAAATGTGAGCTGCGGCTTAGTCTTCCCAGACAAGGTGGCACTGGGTAAGGGAGCCCAGGGCCACGAGCTCCCCGGCCTGTTTGCAGTGCCTCCTCCCTCTCCGGCAGCTTCTCAGGGCTCGGCAGGCACGGAGGGTCTGGCCATCCTCTGGGTCACCTTCTCGTGAGCGCAAAATTGGCAGCTTGCTTGCAAAGGAAGGCTTTTGTGGCTTGGAAACCAAAATCCTTCCTTTGATCTGCAAGCGAAGTCCCGGCAATCGATGCACCACGGAAGCGACGGGAGCAGAACGGCCACGGCTGCACAGCAAGTGAGCGTGGGGTGTGTGGGGGGGGGCTGGGGGGACAGAAGCGGCTGTCTGGGGTGAGGCGAGGACTGAGCAAGCAACTAGCCAGGGGAAAGGGATGGCACACAGGGGCTGGAGTCGAGGGACAAGGCGGGTGGCCAGACCAAAGGACCGTGCAGGGGCGGCCCCAGCCCTGATGCCCCGTCGTCCAGGGGACGGCCCGGCCTGGAGTGGCAGAGCGAGACCCTGCTTCGCCGGCAGAAGGGCCGAGATCAACCTCGCCATCACTGCGGGGGGGGGGGGATGCCAGAAACCCTGGCAAGCAGCACTGGCTCAGATGGACCCAGGTCCCCATTCTCCAATGGAGACCCCCCAGAAAAAGGACCTTGTGTTATCGGAACTCGCCTCCTAAAGGGGTGCGACAGGTACCCTCATTTTTCTGTTTTCACCACCAAGTAAAACTTTTTCATTTAGTACCTGCTGTTAGAACTACGGTCTTATTTGCTTTTTGCTGCTGGTTTTAATGCTGTTTTATTGCTGTTCATGTTATCCTTACATTGGTTGATGTTATTTGCTTTCAGAAGTCACTGTTTCATTTTACTATGATTGTGTTACATTGTTGTTTCTGTCTTTTGTGAGCTACCCTGAGAGCCCCTGGACTAATAGAAATACAATAAATAAATAAATTCTGTCTCCGGCAGCTCCCCGGCTGGCACAGCTCAATCCCCTCTGGAGCAGGTGGGACCATTAGCATCTTCATCATCATCATCAGTAATAATAATGCATGGCATGCTCCGACCGGCTGGGAACCCAACTCCTGGCGAGCACAGACACTGATCAGGCTGATGGGAGTGGCAGGCCAGCAGCATCCAGGGGGCCACGAGCTCCCCAGTCCCGGCTCCAGTTCCACAGTTCAGTGGATCACCAACGAGCTGCTCGCCCCACATGGAAGGGTCCTGTTTGACTCTCAGTGGGAGACGGGGCATCCCCAGGCCACCAAATGCAAGAAGGGAAGGCAGGGAAATGAATCACAGAATCAGAGCGGGAAGGGTTCTCCAAGATCATCTAGTCTGACCCCTGCTCCTCAGGGGGTACAAGGTGCAGCTGCAGTATCCCTAAGAGGTGCCCATCCGCTGATTGAGTTCCTCCAGCAAAGGTGTTCCCACCAGCTCCTAAGGCACCCAGAGAACAGCTCTTCTTCCAACGGTAAGCGGAGACTCCCTGCCTCATACGCCTACGCAAAGAAGCCATTCTGCGCCCTGTTCCAGCTCAGGGGCACCGTTCAGCCTGGCATCGCAGAGCACCGTGGAATCTGGGTCGCCACAGGACTCTGGGAAACCGGGCTCTGTGGACTCTCCACCTGCCATCATTTACCTTCCCGAAATTTTTCTGCCAAAGGGTCTTTGGCCCCACTCACAGCACTTAGGGGAAAGGGGAGCAGAGAACCCAAGAGAGGGAGCTAATTGCTCAGAGCCCATCCAGGCCCGTTTGAGCTCTACAGAACCTCCTTTCAGGGCTTTGTCAGGCCAGGCTGCATATCTAGCAACACTTCCTGGAGACAAGCGGGCACATGGGCGTATGCGCCTCAGGCCAAGCCATGGGAAAGAGGAGACTGCGAGTGCTGCCTGAAGATGCAGGGACTCGGAACGTGCTGTGCTGCTGCAAAACACCTGGAAACATCTGCCCAGTTTGCAAGAGAGAAGAGTAAGAAGTTTTAAAAGCACTGGTCAGAAAGTCCTATAGAAAGCAGTCAGATGGCGCCGCTCTCACCTCTGCTGGACACGGAAGGCCTTCGTGGGCAGCCCAGTGCAGGGACGGTGGCCACCCCCCATGCAGACGCAGCCCAGGGGGCATCTTTTGGGATTTCCGATACTGAGCATGCAAGCTGTCAAATATAGTTTTCTTCAGAAGACATTCAAGCCAGGCGCCCTGTGCTCAGCCCAGCATGGAGTGAACGGGAGGCATTGTCTCAGCCCAAAGGAAACAAGGCCCTGCAGGCTGTCGGCACCCCTTCGCCTCTGCAGCCACTGCCATCCTGGGGGGGGCACAAACGTTCGGGGGAACAGCCCCCGGTCAGCCGGCAGGGCCACTCCCCAGCGCCTCAGTTCCCGCCGGCTCCAGCCTGCACTTCCCACCGGTGAAATTTCGTTCCTTGACTCTGTGACAATGTGTCCTTTGTTAAAACAAAACGCCAGGGCTTTGGTGAGGAATTCAAAGAGGACAGGGGTTCTTCAGTCCAAGGGTTATACTCCCTGGTGGGGCACCCCGTGGGAGCGGTGGGGCAGAAGTGGGTGGGGCCTGGCATGCAGCTTTTCCACCCTTGATAACACGTACCGCAGGCTAACAACGGCTCTTGAAATATATATGTTAACTATCCAGAGAGACGTTTGAAAACCATCCTACAATGGCCTGTACCTAGTCCCCTCCATGTGCATTGGACAGCAACTTCCATCATCCCCAGGCCCATGGGAGTCATAGCCCATTCCAAATTATGCAAATTCTGCACGACCAGCACTTGCTCACTTCTGGGCCCAATATGACGTGCTGGTCCTGGCCCAAAATGAAGGGCTGAACGGCTTGGTCCATCGCCTGCCCAGCCGTGCCAACTTGCCTGTCCTTCAGGGCCCAGTTCCCTGGCTCACCAGCTTGGCCAGCCAGCATGTGAGGACGCCTCCTTGGTGGTGGCCCCCGCAATGTGGAATTCCCGCCCAAGAGACTTGTGACTTCAGTTTTTAAAATAGGTTTCAAAACATATTCACTGCCTCTGGCATTTGGTTGGAAAGGTTCCATGGTGTTTGCTGGGGCTACTTCTTTGAAACTGCATTTTATCTGAACTGGCTTAAATTATTTAATGTGAAGGTGCTTATATAATTTGACATAGAATGCGAGTGTTTTGTCTTGTGAGCCACCATGGGAAGCCCTTGGTTTAGAAAAGTGGCTAATAAATGTACTTATTATTGAATAAATAGTGCTAAGCATTTTAAACAAAAAAACCAAAATGAACAGAAACCCCGAGGAACGAAGCTTGCAGTTCAGGCTACTGAAATGTTCAAAGGCATCCGTAAGAGTCAAGACGAAAAAGCACTTTGCCAAAGACTGGGAAGCAAAAGGAAGACCATCTCTCTAAACAGGGACCACTAGCCCAGGGAGGCCCCCAAAGGAGGGGGCCCGGGCCCAGCCAGGAGGCAGACGCATGACTGCGTGGACTACAGGAAGAGCGCCAGTGCAGGGAAAGATCCGCTTTCGGAGGAGCTGTGCCCAAACCCCCAGCCCTGGGGGGAACGCGGTGCAGCCACTGCCTGCCAGAAGGTGCCGGTGGAAGG